GTTGTCGTGTGGGAGGAGGTAGGTAGGTAGGTAGGTTAGGTAGTAGATATATAGTATATATATATATATATATATATATATATATATATATAGAGAAGGGATATTGACATGTGAGAGAGCAAGGATGATCGCTGTGCTCCAGACACAGTACTCTCTGTGCCTGTCATGAAAACACTCGCCTGTTCCTTTACAAGGCTTCCTAGTGCAGGCCCTGGTTGGCTTCAGTGACAGTTATTCCTGGGTGAGTAAGATGTGACTGCACATATGACCATGCACTACAATGGAAACAATGAACGGCTGATTGTGCGGCAGAGACGTTCACACCGAAACTGTACGGTAGGCTGCGAGGGAGTGCAAGTTGCCTGGGCTGCCGCTACAATCTATATTACACCCGTGGCATGGGTTGCAGCACCCCACGGCTCAGTCCCACCAATAGGCCGAGAAAGGCGCGCATGCCAAACCCTAAACCCTAAAAACCCTTGGACAGTCCTTTCACAGAGACATTGTGCGCAGACACACAGCCACTGACCTACCGTGTACTGCAGAAAGACATTGCACCCAATGCCCGAGCCCATCGCAACGAAACGGGGCAGGCTGAAGTGCTCCACCGCCTTATGGACTACACCAGCCAACTCCTCAACCGACGGATAAGTGGTCCTATGTGTACACATAAGCGACATAGAGGTATGGGTGGGTGCAGCATAGCGGGAAGAGACGGACTGTGTAGTGTATGCATGTGTGTGAATGAATGAATCGGCCCCGGAGAGTGCATGCAGTATATATCTGCCCCGCGATTAAACAGCCGGTTGGTCAACCAGCTTAGATCCAGAGCGTATCAGCCAGAAAAACCAGAACATTCCATCATATACAAGTGCTATGCACACTCTCTAACCGTGACATTCGACATACCCGAGTAGATCGCCGGCTCCAGTCTCACAGCCAGGGGCGTCGATGTGGTACACACAGAAGTCCTCCATCATCTTCTGTGTCAGTTCGTAGTTGAATAGACCTCCGAAACAGGATTTGTCTACCGTGCCAGTGGGAGTTGTAATATGCATCCGTCTTAGTATACAAACACAAAGCTGTACTCTCTGAACGCTAACTGGGGTCGTTGAAACGTTCCTACCTCAACCTACATACAATGTGCGATTGAATGTATATGTACAGTCGGTGCAATCGCATGTGATATCATACCCAAACCCCCACAACCCCACACAGAGCTGTTGAAATACATACGATTGTGAGATTGAATGTATATGTACAGTCGGTGCAACCGTATGTGATATCATACCAAAACCCCCACAACCCCACACAGAGCTGTTGACATACATACGATTGTGCGATTGAATGTATATGTACAGTTGGTGCAACCGTATGTGATATCATACCAAAACCCTCACAACCCCACAGAGAGCTATCGAACCCATGCGTGTTCGAAGTTTTGCCCCGACTCTCACTCGGCTTTGTAATTATTAGTTCAATTTTTTTGTGTGTGTTGTAGTTGTAAACTGGGCTACCCCTGGGGCTATACATGTCAAACTCTCCCAATTGGTCAAGCTGCGTCAGTATGAGCCCATATCTCAACAATAACATATTTACTTATCTCGATAGCACTATATGTTGAGCGATACTTACGTTCGAGTCCGGCATCATGGAACGTGACTATGGCGGGGTTGGCTGTGCTGCCCTGTACGTACACCTGGAATGACCCTCCCCCGTAGGATAGGCGGTGGGACTGAACAACACGTGGTTCCCATCGAGAGAGAGAGAGAGAGAGAGAGAGAGAGAGAGAGAGAGTGTGTGTGTGTGTGTG